TTAGCTCAGCGGCAAAAGCGCCTGCCTGGCAAGCGCAAGGTCGTGAGTTCGGTTCCCGGTACCGGAGAAAAACCAAAAAAAAAAAAAAAAAGAAGAGGCTGGAGTGTGTGATTTAATGGGAGAGATAGAGTCCTACAGCAGATGACAGGAAGAGCACCTGGTCTACACCTCAAGAACTAGTAGAGACCAGCATAGAAGTGGCTTCTACAAAGTGTTACATCTGGCTAGAGCACAGGATGCAGTGCAAAGTAAAATGAGAAGTTAATGGGTGGCTGAGGAAAGAAGGAAAAAATCTGTAGAGACCAGAGAAAGTTGTGTTTGAGCAGTACACTGAGACACTATCCAATAGCCATGAGTGGAAAAGTAGTACCCTATAAAAAAAGTAGGGTCCTATAAAATCACTGGATATCCAGTGGGTCCAGTCTCATTCAGCTAACCTACCCACCATCTTTGTTCCCTCTTACTCAACAATTCTTGCCTAGTCAACTCCTTCATGTATTAAACTGAGCTGAAAAGGGAGTCAGATGCTACGAAAAAAATGAAATGAAAATGAACATGACTAAGAATTTGATGGCCAAAAGAATAACTTTCAGGTAAATAAGTGACTGAAATTAAATGTCATAGGAGCACTGAAGATTTACAGTCCCAAGATGCAATTCTTGTAAATGTCCAACGACATAAGCCAGCTATTCTATCAGCAGAGCCCAAGCCCAGAATGAAGCCTGGAATCGTCTTTTTAAAAACACACATTCAGGGCCAAGGATACAGCTCAGTGGCACAGCGCCTGCCTGGCAAGCGCAAGGTCCTGAGTTTGATTTGCAGTAGTAAAAACAAACACATACACACATTCCTGGGTGCCCTTTACCCTTCAAGAGCTATATACTAGCAGAGATCTCAAAGTAGAGACTCCAGCACTGTTAGTTTAATTAAAGTTTGGGAACCTTCATCTGTCACAAAATGAAGGGACTATAAGGGCAACAATCACATCAGCATCCATCAACACATTAAAATTGCTACTACCTCTTTTACTTTTAAGAGATTATCAAGCTTCTTTAAGTAAAATACCTTAGTCAGTACTACAGTAACATATGAATAGATGTCCCTGTTTATTAATTTCACACAACAGAATGTGTCATTCCTAAATTTTATTTTTTGGAGACAGAATCTCACCATGTAGTTTAGACCAGGCTTGAACACATTATGTAGCCCAGGCTGGCCTTGAACTCCTGGCAATCCTCCTGCCTCAGCCTCAAAAGTGCTAGGATTAAAGGCATGTGCAACCACACCCAGCATTCTTACAACTATTATACTCCCTATATTAACCAAATCATCTGTTCACCTCTTAGAGCTTAAGTCATTTCTAAATCCCACCTACCTACATAATCTCTCCAACCCTTTTCTGTAGGGACTAAACATTAAAAACTACAAATATTAGTAGCACATGAGAAGAATAAACAAATGACAAGCAAAGAAATTCAGAAGGCAGTCCTCTAGTTATAAATTCAGTATGCTCTCTACACAAAAACATATTAACTAAAGTAATCACTAATGAGCATGATCTGCTTAATGTCTTAAAAAAACCTCCATACAATCATGTCTTCAAAACTAAGTACATTTATCATACCATAATTGGGTTGGTCTGGCTGAGCAGTTTGTGCAACTAAATCTTTATTATGACGCAGAAATAGTATTGTATTTCTCAGAGTAAGTGCATGATCAAAGTATCTCTGTGCTTCTCCTTCACCAGTGCTCTGAACCTAAACCAAGAGAAAACAGAGTTTACAACAAATACCCACTTTGTGCCATTCTCTCTAATTATATGTTAGAACTATTAGGACATTATTAAAAATCAACAGATTTGTGTTTAGACAACACTGAAACAAATAATCTCAATCTCAGTTGAGTTTCCAGTTTTACTATCTTTGATGATGAAAGAAGTTACTCCAGTAAGTAAAGCTAACTACAGCAACTAAATGCTACTAAATTACATCACTATTTGAGTTTTATGTCCCCTTTATTAGATTTCATTAGAATACTTAAAAAGTTTTAAAACCGGTATCTTGCTTCATCCAGAGAAGTCTCTAATCCACCAATTATACTTCTAAAATGTCTACCAGTTCATTCACAATTTTGTATGATCAGTGACAAGGTATACTGGAGTATGCCTTTCAATATAGTTGATTACCATTGCTGAACACACAGCTTAAATTCATTCAACAAGGATTTACTGAGTGTTTCCTAGGTACTATGACCTCTCCAGGAGATAAGGAAAGAATTACAGAACAATCAGACAAAACCCTCAACTGCAGTAACCTTACAGTTAATGAATGCAGGCCTGTTTAATATGTAAAAACATATATGTTCCAGGTGTGAACCCAGAAAACGGAAAAAAAAGTTTGAGGGGGGGTTAAATTTGCATTAAATTAACAGATTAAACATGTTTAATCAAGATCTGGATTCTTAAATTTTTTTGGATTTTTTTTGTTTGAGACAGTGTCTCGTTATGTAGTTAAAGCTGGCCTTGAACTCAAGATTCTCCTGCCTCTCACCCTGTCAAGTAATGGAATTACAGGCATTTGCCACCATGCCCAGCTAAGAAAGTATTTTTAGAACTAAACTTCACCCTAAAAGGAAGGCTTCCCCAACAATGACTATGTGGATTAAAAAAACAAAAACAAAAACAAAAACAGAACAGATATATGAATGAGTAAAAGTGCAGAAATGATCTTGGAATTGGCTATAACTGATAAAAGTTTAACTGATGTAAGAAAGATAAAAATCAAGAAACCACAACTTAAAATGTGCAGGAACACAGTAGAACATTAATAAGCAAAAGATGATACATGGTAAGAAATGAGGTTAGCAAGGTGGTAAAACAGTATTGAAGAAATAATTCAAATATAAAGATAGAACTAAAAGAGACAAATTAATAGCAAGAATTTTCTTAGATCTATTTCTGCACTAAAGAAAGAATTCGATGGAGAAGCAGCAATGAAAAAATGTTACAGCTTTTTTTTTTTTTTTTTTTTT